AGAACCCCAAAATCCAACGGGAGCCTTGGGAATTTGGGGGGATTTTTGGGGAATTTTTGGGAATTTTTTGGGGATTTTTTTGGGATTTTTTTGGATTTTTTTAGGCTTTTTTGGGGGATTTTTGGGGAATTTTTTTTGATTTTTGGGGGGATTTTTTTTTTATTTTTGGGGGATTTTTTTTTGATTTTTTGGGTATTTTTTTGGAATTTTTTGGGATTTTTTTGGGGATTTTTTTAGGATGTTTTTTTTGATTTTTGGGGATTTTGGGGGGATTTTTATAGGATTTTTTGTGGATTTTTGGGAATTTTTGGGGAATTTTTTGGGGATTTTTGGGGATTTTTTTTTTTTTGTTTTTCCCCCCCCATTTTTCCCCAATTTTTTTTGCATTTTTCCAATTTTACCCCATTTTCCCCCCCTTTTCCCCTCCTTTTTCCCAATGTTTTCCCATTTTTCCCCTTTTTTTTCCCAATTTCCCCCCATTTTTTGTGTGTTTTTCCCATTTTTTCCCATTTCCCCCCATTTTTTCCCAATTTCCCCCCATTTTTTTGTATTTTTCCCATTTCTTTGTGTTTTTTCCCCATTTCTTTGTGTTTTTCCCCCATTTTTCCCCATTTTCCCCCATTTTTGGTGTGTTTTTTCCCCATTTTTTTCTATTTTCCCCATTTCTTTGTGTTTTTCCCATTTCTTTGTGAATTTTTCCCATTTTTTTGTATTTTCCCCATTTCTTTGTGGTTTTTCCCCATTTCTTTGTGTTTTTCCCCCATTTTTTTTGTATTTTCCCCATTTTTTTGTATTTTCCCCATTTCTTTGTGTTTTTTCCCCATTTTTTCCCATTTCTTTGTGTATTTTTCCCATTTCTTTGTGTATTTTCCCCATTTCCCCCCCTATTTTCCCCATTTCTTTGTGTATTTTCCCCATTTTTGGTGTGGTTTTCCCCCATTTTTTTGTATTTCCCCCATTTCTTTGTGTTTTTCCCATTTCTTTGTGTTTTTTCCCCATTTCTTTGTGTTTTCCCCCCATTTTTGGTGTGTTTTTCCCCCATTTTTTTTGTATTTTTCCCATTTCTTTGTATTTTTCCCATTTCTTTGTATTTCCCCCATTTCTTTGTGTCTTTTCCCCATTTTTTTGTGTATTTCCCCCATTTCTTTGTGTATTTTTCCCATTTCTTTGTGTATTTTCCCCATTTCTTTGTGTATTTCCCCCATTTCTTTGTATTTCCCCCATTTTTTTGTATTTTCCCCATTTTTTTGTATTTTTCCCATTTCTTTGTGTATTTTCCCCATTTCTTTGTATTTTCCCCATTTTTTTGTATTTTCCCCATTTCTTTGTGTATTTTCCCCATTTTTTTGTATTTTCCCCATTTTTTTGTATTTCTCCCATTTCTTTGTGTTTTTCCCCGTTTTTTTGTATTTTTCCCCATTTTTTTGTATTTTTCCCCAATTTCCCCCATTTCTTGGTGTGTTTTTTCCCCATTTTTTTGTATTTTTCCCATTTCTTTGTGTATTTCCCCATTTTTTGATGTGTTTTTTCCCCATTTCTTTGTATTTTCCCCCATTTTTTTGTGTTTTTTCCCCATTTTTTTGTATTTTCCCCATTTCTTTGTGTATTTTCCCCATTTCTTTGTGTTTTCCCCCATTTCTTTGTATTTCCCCCATTTTTGGTGTGTTTTTCCCCCATTTCTCTGTGTTTTCCCCCATTTCTCTGTGTTTTCCCCCATTTCTCTGTGTATTCCCCCCATTTTTTGGTGTGTTTTTCCCCCATTTCTCTGTGTATTCCCCCCATTTTTGGTGTGTTTCCCCCTTTCCCCGCTCACCCACGGTGTGGACGGGCCGGCGGAAGGGCAGCAGCCCGAAGTTGTACTGGAAGATTCCGCGGGCGTGGAAGAGCGGCAGCGCCAGGCCCAGCAGCCGCTGCAGCCGCAGCTGCAGGCGCCGCAGCCGCGAGCCCGGCGGGTTGGGAACCTGCCGGAACAGCTCGTTCTCCCCGAAACTGAACACCGGCACCAGCGGGGCCCTGAGCCGGGGACAGCAGCCGGGAACAGCCGGACAACAGCCGGGGACAGACGGGAACAGCCGGACAACAACAGCCAGGGACAGCAGCCGCGGGGGAACAGCCGGGGAAC